ATGCAGCACGTGGGGGGTGGGATACAGGCTGGGGAGCCTGATGGGTGGTGGGGAGCACACTGCGCTGGGTGGGGATGAGCAATTAGAAGCTTGCTGGGTTGGGTGGGGGAGGAGCATGCAATGCTGGGTGGGGGAGGAACTCACAGTTCTTTGCTGGGGTGGGGATTCCCAGAGCTGGGGGAGAGTGGGGCGGAAAAGCCGTCACACCCTGAACTTCAAGTCTTCAGGCTACTACAGACCATGATCGTACACCTCCATTTCCAAAACATGCGGAGGCACAAAGGACGTGCTGGGAGCTGGGTGTCTCCTTAGTGGTTGTTCAGTATCTCAGTTTTCCTTTTTTAAAAGTTTAAAAGTAAGTTTACGATGCTCATGTTTCTGAAGAGAAGCTTGAAAACGTGACCTGAGTTTCATGGCTGCCTGTGTTTGCAGAGAGCCTGAAACAGTAGCCACAAGAGGGGAGATCTGCCTTAAGTGTAACAGCCCAGCATTATCTGCCAGTAGCTCTGAGAGGAGGAAGTGCTCCAGGTGCAAATTCCAGTGACCATACTTTCAGTGGCGATATTGTCTTCACAGTACAACTACTAGCACTAGCAACTATAAGGGCACATCTACACAGCCACGCTAAAGCCAAAATAAGCTACACAACTTGAGCTACATCAAATTGCATAGCTTAAGTCGAAATAGCCTATTTCAGCTTTTGGCATTGTCTACAAAGCAGGAAGTCCGAGTTAGAGCACTCTTCCTCTGACTTCCCTTACTCCTCATGAAAGGAAGGTTACAGGAGTGAGAGTAAGCAGTCCTTCAAGTCGGCATTATTTCAACATTACGTCAAAATAACTACTTGTAGTACAGACACAGACTGTGTTATTTCGGAATGATGTCAGTTATTCCGAAATAACACTGCTGTGTAGACAAAGACTAAATGGCCTCACATTGGGGGAAGCTTAGTATCCAGAATTGGGAGGTTGAGTTCCACTTAAAAAATGGGGGAAATGCTGCCTTATACATAGTTATAAACCTGCTACAGTATTTGCAAATAACTTTGTGTTATTTGGCCCTTCTCTATAGCCTTATAATCAAGGATACAGTAATGTAAATGCAGGAGTAACATTAATTCTCCATTTTCCAGACTTTTGAACAGTTAACAGTGTACTCTTAACACTCTCTTACATAATTTCTGGCAGAAATGTTCTAAGACTTTTGTTTTTCAGAAAAGAAAATACATTTCATAATCTGAAAAGAAGTGCCAAGGCCCCTCCAAAATGTCCTGTCTCGTACTGGATAGCAGGGCACTGCAAAAGAAAGCTTTAATCAATGAAAACCAGAGACATGACCTCCAACCACTATACAGTAACCAGCGTCGGATATAGGGCAGGGCGAGCGCAGCGTCCTGCCCCACCCAGAGAGAGGCTGGGGGTGGCATGGTCTCTCCCCTGGGGGAAGCCCAGACCCCTTTCCCACCACGCCCAGGGGCAGAGCAACCTGCCCGCAAGGGAGACACTGTCTCCTCCCGCCAGTGCCCACCTCGCCCCACTCATGGGCACAGCGCGACCCAGCTCCACAGATACACACACGTCCCTGGGAACAATGCTGCCTGGTAAATATCAGCCATGGGCAGACAAAGAGACTCTACTGTGAGCCAGGAGTGTTTTGTAGGTCTTTTGATTATATTGATTGAAAACGACCTGTGTAAAGAAATGGACTTTACTGACGTAATGGAAGAATGTGCTGCCAAAAGAGCTAGACAGCTAATAATAGACACAGATACACACACGTCCCTGGGAACAATGCTGCCTGGTAAATATCAGCCATGGGCAGACAAAGAGACTCTACTGTGAGCCAGGAGTGTTTTGTAGGTCTTTTGATTATATTGATTGAAAACGACCTGTGTAAAGAAATGGACTTTACTGACGTAATGGAAGAATGTGCTGCCAAAAGAGCTAGACAGCTAATAATAGACTTAAATACAAATGAAAATTTTTAATTATTAATGCAGAATTTTGTTTAAGAATGAATTACAATAGAATTAAAATTAAAATTATTCAACTAAATTAAGTTTCTATCAAATTTACACAGTTCACATTTAATATTGAAATAGCCTTCAATTTGCACATTTGACACCTTTTTTCTATTTTTTCACCAAAGTGGGGCCTGGTGAAATTGTGCTGCCCTAGGCCCCGCAAAACTGTCATCCGCCCCTGACAGTAACACAGTATTTTGCAATCTTTGGAGACTGTCCAAACTAATCAATCCAAGTATTTTTGTCATTGGTAGGTAAACAAACATTTTACTGGAAACGTGCTGATACGTGCTTTCTTCATTAACCCTTTATTTGCATTGCAATGGGGGATCTTTGAACATTAGTCTTTTACTCATCAATAGAATTAGCTGTGGAAGAAAGAAAACATATTTGCATCTTGTTGGTCAATATTATTATCCTGTAATATACCAGTAACTGGGAAGGACAGAAAGGATACTGCTGAGCAGCTCCGTATTCTTCTTGGAATGACAGAAATTAAAACCTTAGGATAAGCTGAGGAACTATTTCAGACACAAATAAAATACAAACCTTAGGGCCACTACCAGTTGAAAAAAATTGGACAGAACAGTTTTCCATTAGAAAATAGAGTTTTATCAAAACCTAAATGTTTATGGGAAGTGCTGATGTTGGCAACAGATTTGAGAGAAAAGTCTCAAAGGCTACATCTACACTGCACTGTAGGTTGAAATAAAATTTGAGCTACGGAAATTGCGTATCTTATTTTGATGTTATTTCAAAATAGCTTATTTCAAAATTTGGCACTGTCTGCACAACACTTATTTCAAAATAAATTTCTATTCTAAAATGTCCTTTACTCCTTGTGGAATGAGATTTACTGGGACATCAGAATAGTGAGCCCGTTAGATTTCAAAATAACAGACGCGCTCCAAGTATGTGGAATAGCTGTTTCGAGATACTCTGCAGTGTAGATATAGCCAAAATGAATTGTTTTGACTTTCTCATTTCAATAATGTCAGAATATTTTGTCTCAAAAAGACAAACTGTTTCGTTACAATTTTACGATTTAATGTCCTTTCCTCCGGGTTTATTATATGATCATTTAAATGTCGTGGCGCAAATAACATAAATTTCTCATTTGTCCCAGGGAGGGAGAGATCAGCTAAGGGGCGAGGGGGGAGCCATATGACCTCCTCACATGACTCTCCACGTGACTCCACCCTGCACCCAGTCTGGGGTTTCCCTCCCCATCCCATATTACTGGACAGGCGGTGGGGAGGGAGGCCAGGGGCAGTACAACAGCTAAAGGAACAGCTGGGAGTTCTGCTGCTTTCCCCACTACAACTCTGACAGCTCCTCTGGCTCCCAGCTCTCCCTCAGATCCTTGTTCTCCGATGGGGCTCTGTACAGGCAAAGCTGGACCTCCGAGAGGCAGCTCTGTGGAGGGGCTGAGGCTGATAAAGCATCTTTCCACTTCCAGAATGCCGTACGGGCTACAGATGTCTTGCTAGTACAATGTGTCATATCATACTGGCCTATCTGCACTACTGTTGAAATGTAAAATACTTATGTTATTATTTCTGTGATATTTTATCATGTTTTGACATTAAAACACTTCAGTGGTTTCAGATAAAAACATTTCAGTGCTCACATGCCCTGAGAAATGTGCCGTTTGGACTTTTGTTCAAATTTAGAATTAAAACAGGTTTCAAAATCTTGGGATTTCCTGTGGGATGGAAGTTCCATCTCTAATCAGCTCTAGTTTAGTCTCATTCCTCACTACACATTTCGAGTGCTCACCATTCCTGCCCTTTATCAGAGTGTGTAACACAAAGATTAAAAATCTGTCAAATTTATGTCACTAGAGAAACAAGGCAGCTGAGGTACAGATTGAACCACTCTAGCCTGGCGCTCTGTTCAGCAACATCCATGGATGGGTATGATTTTAGTTAGCTGGATGTCCCCTAAGCATGGGTGTGGCCAAGTTTTCCAAGGTCCCATAAAGTTTCTTTACAGCCACCAGTTCTGGCTTTCAGGGTATGTCTAGACTGAATCCCTCTGCCAACAGAGAGCTGCAGATTAGGCAGGTCGACATTGCAAATGAGGCAGGGATTTAAATATCCCATGCCTAATTTGCATAAAAATGTCCGCCACGTTTTGCTGACCTCTGCAAGGAGGTTTACAGGATCAAAAAAACCCTGTAGTCTAGACACACCCTGAGTGGCCCATTAGCCATTTTGCAGTTGCAGGACGGAAGGAGAAAGTTAGTGGATTACAGGTTGTTTTAATAAACCATACATTTGCTGTCTCTGAACAATAATAGCCTTGTCTGCTTTATGGGCCAATCTAATGGCCGTATTTTGAGACCTTCTAGTGAACAATGGTCCACCACAGGTAAAGGACATGGATTTCCACTGGATGAGCAGAATCATGATTTTCTATGACTATTTGTATAAATAGAAAGCTTGAAATATAAATTGAAAGCTTGAAAATGATGACATTCTCAAGCGGCGCTGGCTGCTCTACTCTGATTCAACTGATGAAGTTTTCTGTTTCTGCTGCAAGCTCTTTGACTTGAATCCAAAGTCATCCCTAGCATGTGAGGGATCAAATGATGGGAAGCACGTCTCAGATCCTTGTGCATCATGAAAAATTGCCTAGTCATTTCAATTTTCACTGAACGAGGGTCAAAGCAGACCTGGGGAATTGGGTGGGGAGCAGAGCAGCACACTTCGGGCAGCCCCCCTGCTCCATCCCCATCTGCCTGAGCCCCCTCTTCTCCTGGGAATGCATAGCTACCCTCCTCCCACCTTGCCAGGAGCCTGGCAAGTCTGTCGGTCTGCCTGGCTACAACTATACTGCATATTTTTGTCATTTTTGTTCTGGTTACAGATATGAAGGCGCCTGGAGTCCTCATTACTGATTAACTGCTCAGCTGTTAGCACAAGATCTCAGTTTAACAGGATTCACAAGATAAATAGCCCAGTACCCCTCCTGATCTTCCCATCAGCATGGAGGGATTTGTTCTCTGCCTGGGGATCCTATTTGTGTTCAGTTTCCCAGAGGTTTCACACAGCCAACTGTAAGTATCCCCAGAATTCTGAGTTGGTAAGGATATTTTGGGGTTCGTTAAACTTCTGTGAGTGAATTCTGTGATGGGGTGTGGTCACAGATGACCCCTCAGGGTGCTGACACGGCCACTGCCCACTCACCTTTCCGCTCTCTGGGCCTCCTTACTGCCCTGTCCTGCTGGGCCAGCTCCGCTGGTCTCCCCCAACCAAGGTCCCAAGCTGGGGCCCCTGCCCCCACTGAAAAGCAGCACAGACACTGAACCACTCCAGGTCCAAGAAGAGTGCGGTTTAGGGCCCAGCCTCCTGAGAGCACTCCCCAGATGGGATCAAAGCCCAAAGAATTAGGTAAGCCCCCTTCAGCAATGAAAGGGGGAATGTGCACACTGGGAATGTGCCCCCCCAGGTAACAATCGCTTACACTGGGTTTGATAGAAAATGAAAATGGTTTTATTAAGTCGAAGCAGTAGGAATAAGAGAAAGCAGGCAGAGCAATGTAGGTTACAAATAATCAAAAGAAACAAAACCTCCTGGCTAATTCTCCACTGAAACCTCAGTGCAAACTTAAACTCACCCTAAAACCTCTTTTCCAGATGCCACTCTAAACCAGGGCTGTCTTCCCCACCCTGGGGTCTCCGGCTCCTTCCTTCAGGTGCAGCCCAGCCAAAAGACTCAGGCCTCTGCTTTCCTATTCCTTTTGTTAAGGAGTTGAGGCCCCTCCCTACCAGCCACTGCTCAGACTTAAGGACACAAGATTGTTGAACAGTGGCTCATCTAGAAGTTGCAGGTTAACACCCTCCATGTCTCCCATTCACACATTTGAAACTCACCAAGTATTCCCCACTCCATGTGTCTACTTTTCTACACACAAATGATACATACAACAGAGTAAGATCAACAGAACCAGCAGATCATGACATGAAGATTGATGGGTTACATGAAATAATTTGCTCAAACCACCTTTGAGTTATGTATATTCATGTCCATGAGTCCACTTCATAAATTCCACCTTCACTTTTGTCTTTTCACCAAAATTCCATTAATGTTGGGAACTGCTTCCGCAATTCTCTTTATCCTACTCCCTTTGATTCTTGTCTATTATGTTCCGTTCTGAAGCTGGTTTTAGGACTGTAGAATCTGGAAGCGTTCAGCTTCACATGCTGAACACAAATCTGAATAAACAGATTGATGAGGCAAAATCTTCCACTGGGCAAAGTGAGAGAGAAAACCTTCCCTTCCTTATGGGGGACTGAAGTAAACTAACCTGTAGTTCCTGAAAATGGATTTTGGCTAGGAGAGAGGTGCTAGCAGGCCAAGGCTTGAGAAAAATGACATAGAATTTTGAATGACCAAGTGTACAGGAGGCAGTCCAGAGGGAGATCAAGCTGCCTTATTACTCTGTGCTCTGGTGGGCCCATTAGGCCCTGCTACAGGGCTGGTCTGCCACAGTCTAAGGGCTCAGGTCTATAGCCTGGCTAATTAGCAGTCGAGTTACCTGGCCCTAGCTCAGGGCGAGGGTATAAATGGTCCTGGGGCTCTGGCCAATGTGCTGGCTGAGCTGCAATTCACAGGCCCAGCCTGAGCTCAGGATGGGGCAAGCTACAAAATAAAGGTTTCAGGCTTTCTTGGCTATGTCTACGCTGCAACACTATTTCAAAATAACTAGCGCTATTCCGAAAATAGTGTCAAAATACTGTCCAGCCGGAGGACTTCTTACTCCAACTCCTGTAACCCTCATTGTACGAGGAGGAAGGGAAGTCGGGGGAAGAGTGCTCTATTCCGAAGTAAGTGCTATGTAGACGCTCCCTATTTCAAAACAAGATATTTCAAAATAAAATACACAATTGACGTAGCTCAATTTGCATCATTTATTTTGAGTTAAGCCCTGCAGTGTAGACACACCCCGTAAGGCCAAGCAGTAGTTCAAGGCCCCCGGCACTGGCTCAGGGTGGGGCGGCCAACAGTTTAAGGACTCAGATCTCTCTGTAGGCTGAGCAACAAGTGACATGTCCAGGCTATCGGTCGGAAGGGGGCAGCCAACAAACAGATCAGCACTTAGAATTTCAGCCCATCTGCAGGCTGGGTCGCAGTTTATGGGTCCAGGCCCATACTGAGGGCAGGGCAGCAAACAAACAGCTGAGCTGTTTACAGACCGATAAGCAGTTTAAGGCTCGGGCTGAGCAGCAGTTGATGAGCCCAGGCCCTTAGTCAAGGCGGGCTGTGAACAGTTAAAGGCTAAGCAGCAGTTCATTAGGCCAAGGGCAACAGACAGTTTAAACAGTTTAAAGTTCAGGCCTGTCGGCTGCCACTGGGTTGGCGGGGATCCTGGCTACATGCTGAGCAATTTGCTAGGTCAGTGGGGATTCTGACTGCAGTGACCTCCATTTCCTGCCTGGCTCTGCCTCTGCTCCTTGGGGTGGACGGTGGTGCTGGCAGTGTGTCCATGGGCTCCGGGTCAGGGTCAACTAGAGGTCTGGGTGGCCCAATCCAGTCTTCGGGGTCCCACAGTGGTCCTGGGGGCCCTGGCCAATCCTCTGGGCCTGGCAGTGGCCCTACCCCACCTTCTGGCCCCGGCAGCTGCCCTGGTGGCCCAGGCCAGTTCTCCCTTTGAGGGTGGCGTGGCTGGGCCTTCCTCCTCGGGAGTCTGGGGCCCTTCTGAGCTCTGAGCTCCTGTTCTTATGCCTCTTGCCCTGCCTTCCTTCGAGTAGGGCTGGGTGACTCGGGCCCTGCTTACCCAGGGGTCTTAGAGAGTCCTTCCCCTTCTGGGTCTGAAGGAGGCCAAGCTGCCTCACTATACCAAGAATTCAGCTTGATTTCTCACCCAAAGATGACAACCCACTACAGTTTGAACCTCCCTAGTCGGGCACCCTTGGGATTTGACCGACGCCGAACCAGAGAATTTGCTGGACCTCAGGAGATCAATATTGTCAAGGAGCATTACCAACACTTCCACTCTTAGAAGACACTTAGGGCACATGAGAGCTAAACAACAGTACAGCACACTGAGAGCCAGGACTGGTGGCTGTAAACAAACTTTATGGAACCCTGGGAAACATCCAGCTAACTAAAAACATGTCGGATAGGGATGTAATCGTGTAGTTGATTAACCAGTAAGCAAAAGCTGAGAGGTTAATGCTATAGGCTACACGCATTTGCCCTCCCTCCCTTGCCAGTAAACTTTTTAGCAGGCTGGCCAGCAGCCTGGCTCAGTTCTGGCTTGCAATAGATCCAGGACCTATCCCTGCTGCAACTCTGCATTTAAAGTGTATTAGGAGCTAGATGGGCAGGCAGCCTGGCTCAGTTTCAGCTCATGCTGGGTCCAGGAGCTCAGATTCCGCCCCCTTTCCAGACAGGGACTGCTGCCCCCCTGCTCTGCTGCCTCTATATCAGTGCACTGGCTTATGGCCCCACCCCCAGGCAATATAGAATAGTCGAGTAACCAATAAGAATTCATGAGGTTACTCGATTGTTCAATTAACCGATATTTAACATCCTTAATGCTGGACCACGGATGTTGCTGGACCAAAGGGGACCAGACTACAGCAAAGTACCACTTGCACTATGCTGGGGGCATTCAATCAGTGCCAGCTACTGAACAACACCCTGAACTGAATTGCGGCTTTCTGTGGCACAGTAACTCTCATGCTGGGGTGTGAGCATCATCTAGTGCACTGATGTGGCGCTTGTGCATCCATTCCACTTAAGTGGTATTCTAAAATTATTGGCTTTGGCACTACAATAAGGGCTTGGGGTATGCATGGTTTTCAGGCCTGGGCACAGAGCAGGGACTTTGGCAGGTTACATTTCAGGTATTGCATCTACAACCTGAGAGAGCTACATTCTGATTTTCTGTCCCTGTCCAAGATACAGTGCTGCAAGCAGAAATTGTCTCTCACTTGGCAAAGCTTTCCCCCTCCCCCTGCAGTTTTGCACATTTTTGTTTGAGTGATGTGAATTCACATCATTGGTAGAGATAGTGGAATAACTCCCAATGAGAACAGCAACTTTGCTTTACAAAATTAAAGAAATCTGAAACTGAGCCAGGCTGCCTCCCCATCTAGCTCCTAATACACTTTGGCTACGTCTACATTGGCCCCTTTTCCGGAAGGGGCATGTTAATTTCACGAGTCGCAATAGGGAAATGCGCGGGGGATTTAAATATCCCCCGCGGCATTTAAATAAAAATGTCCGCCGCTTTTTTCCGGCTTTTAGAAAAGCCGGAAAAGAGCGTCTACACTGGCCCCGATTCTCCGGAAAAAGCGCCCTTTTCCGGAGGATCTTATTCCTACTTTGAATAAGTACTTTGAAGTAGGAATAAGATCCTCCGGAAAAGGGCGCTTTTACCGGAGGATCGGGGCCAGTGTAGACGCTCTTTTCCGGCTTTTCTAAAAGCCGGAAAAAAGCGGCGGACATTTTTATTTAAATGCCGCGGGGGATATTTAAATCCCCCGCGCATTTCCCTATTGCGACTCGTGAAATTAACATGCCCCTTCCGGAAAAGGGGCCAATGTAGACGTAGCCTTTAAATGCAGAGTTGCAGCAGGGATAGGTCCTGGATCTTTTGCAAGCCAGAACTGAGCCAGGCTGCTGGCCAGCCTGCTAAAAAGATTTGGGCCAATATTTTTTAGGTTTCTGGAGACTCTTCTGCTCACTTCTCTTGACACTTTACCAGTATAAGCAGAAATGAAACTGTAAATGATCAGTATTATCAGCTATTTCAGACTGTGTGTGCTATATTGTATTGCTTGTATTGCACTGAAATGTCTTGGTTTATTGGCTACAGACACACACTCACCCTGTCCTGTGTATTTCATCAATAAAATCAGAGTGGGACTGTAATGGGGTGGACCAAACCCCATAGCCCCCTGCTGGATGCTTGTGGCCTTGCCACACTGCATCCTAGCCAACCATAGAGAAATCCTCCAAGGAGGCTAGAGTGTCTGTAGGTGATAACAGCCAATCAGGGACCATGAAGGCCCTATAAAAGGAGCTATAGGAGCAGAGTCCTGTTCAGTACCATTGGTGATCTTGACGACAGAAGACCACAGGTGACAAGCTCACTGAGGGAGCAACATGGAGAGAGCTCCATGTGAGGAGATATTGTGGACTATATGACAAACTACGATAGAGCCCTGAAGTAAGGGTGAAGACACATGTCTCCAGGAGGGGAAGCCCTAGAGGCACCATTCTCTATCTGAGTGGGAAAGAAACTGAGAGACCATACAGAGGACACCAAGATGGGCCCTGGCAAATGTATGCCCCAGAAAGAATTTTGAGTGACTCAGATCAGGCCGTGTGACTGGGCTGGAGGTCTGAGTAGCCAAAAAAGGCTGAAGAACAGAGCAAGTGAAAGCACACACACTCAGCCAGAAGGAGGGGCTCGAGGAAGGTGAGTACCGTCCCTTAACAGGGAAGCATCCCTGATGAGATTATTATTTAAATGGACCATTCCCATAAGATGTCAATTGTTTTCTGCTTCACTGGCTCTAGTGGGAGTTAATAGAGCTCAGCATCTGTCAGGATTAGGCCCTAAGGCAAGACCAAATACACACAAGACAAGATGCTGGGCATTAATACAGGTGAGGGAGAGTGTGGAATTTATTGGTGATGGGGAAGAAGTGTAGCTGATTTAAGGATGTTCTATATTATTAATTTGGACAGTTTGGATTAGGCTTGTCAATTAAACTAATTAGAAGATAATAAGGTTTTTGTTCCAGAATCAGGCTGTACGGAATATACCAGGGACCTTCAGGGGTATGACAGGCTATTCACACTGAGGCAAAATAGTTTTAAATTTTATTAAAATATATGGAATTGAAATCAAATAGCAATTTGAATAGTAAAATAAATCAGAGTTACAAATGCAGAATTGTGGGTCTGTGCCCATGAAAGCTTATACTCCATTAAATCTGTTAGTCTATAAGGTGCCACAAGACTTCTTGTCGCTTTTGCAGATTGAGACTACATGGCTACCCCTCTGATAAATGCAGCATTATTAGTCTAAAATACACGTGGGATTATTTCTATAAGCAGCAGTTAATGTACTCACACCCATTCTTGATATCTTGATGACATAAGACAAAGAATGAACCTTGCCTCTGGTACAGTAGTTCAGGTCTGGGGTTTCCACGAGGAGTAACGGTAGTTCGAACTAGGAAGCCTAGTTCAAACTACCTAGTTTGTGCTGTGTGTAGCCGCGCGGCACGGGGTTCGAACCAGCTGGGATTTAAAAATGGCAGCGCCCGGCTTATGCAAATGAAGCCCGGGAAATTCAAATCCCGGGCTTCATTTGCAATTGCGGTATGCCTACATTACCCTCCTATTTCGAAATAGGAGAGTAGTGTAGACATACCCTTAGGCTATAAGGTGCCACAGGACTCCTTAGTTTACCTAACTGACCATTAGGAAAATAAAGTTGAAAGACTACCCTTCATTCTCTCTTCTCTTCTCCTCTTTCCTCTCCTTCTCTCCTGCTTCTAACAAAAGCTCCCGTCACCCTGTTTTATAAACATAAGAGTCTGGGACCTCCTTCTATGCCCAAATTTAACATCCTCACCCACAAACTATTGATACACTTACTCCATAGGCTGGATGCATGTAACATGTTTGTACATATTGATGATCTAGTCATGATTCTAGATCGTTCTCACCTCCCTTATCTTTGTATTATTTTTGTTCTTCTTGTGGTGTCCTTGTTAAATTTGAGGTTATTCTTGGAAGCGGCCATGAAAGAGGCTCTGTTTTATCACCATCTATCCAGGTGAAAGGCCCTGAGAATATGTAAGACATCTTTTGCTGTCTGAGTGAAAAATCCCAGATGTATGTGAGCTAAATGTGTGGAAGGTCCCCAACAGAAACACTAACTTGCCTTAGCTTAACATACAGGATTTGACCTGTATGCCCTCTTGCCTTACAGCCAAATTACTTTGCTATAAACCTATAAACTATAATAAATGTTTAAACCATAAGAAAGTATATAGATATCTATAGGCAAGCAAGGAGGTTAGCCCTATATAGGCTATAGAAGGGTAAGGTGCTTGGAAAAGTTATCTCTGCCAGAGTTTCAAATTCAGTAAATAAATGTTTCCCTATTCAGATACACTCTGATCACCCCTAATGTTCTGCGGGTAGAGAGCGAAGAGAAGATAGTAGTGGAAGCTCATGGTCTCACAACTCCAAGTGAGGTTACAATCACCATATACAATTTCCCTCAGAAGAGAAACTATTTATACCAAGTCAAAACCAGCCTGAATTCTGAGAATGGGATGATGGGAACAGCGGTAATAAAGGTGGGTAAAACGCCAGCCTCCTTTTGCTATGCAAAACAGTTAAACCAAATTGCAGTATGTGTCTGGTATCCTCCTATCCAAAAATGCATTTAGAAAACCAGTTAAAATACTTTTCCTTGCAACACAGTGGTCTTTACTGTATATGAACACACATACTTCAATTTTCAACTAGGGATCCTGTTTAATTGGTGAATCAGTTAACTGGTTAACTGGTTAAAGGGGAGTGGATGGGAGGGGCTGCTCCAGCCTTCCTAATCCCTTCCCCCCCCCCCCGACTACTCTGGACATCTGGAGCAGGTCCTGCCTGTGTCACATCCGGGTCTGCTTCAGACGGGGGCTGCTCTGTCCAGCCTGGAGCACCCCTGTCCACAACAGGCTCCACAGAGCTAGAGCAGCCCCCTGCTTGCCACAGGCAGGGAGCTGCTCCAGTCCCCATCGGTTAACCAGAATCGATAAGCATCACCCTGAATGGATGATGTTTACTGGTTAACTGATTAACCTTTCACATCCCTATTTTTAACCAGGACTGCTGTGCCCAAATGTTATGGGAAACTCCTAAAACCCAAACCCTTTCGACTCCAAAGCAGGGAAACTGCTGATGAGTTATATCGGTCTATGAGTATTCATCTAGCTCTGGCTACACGCCACAAACTCTGTTCCCAGCAGACATTCAGCTCTCTGAAAGATTGGTGAGCACATTGAAGAGTATTGCTGCAGCAGAAATAGATAAAACAGAAAACTCCTATTAAACCAACACCTCTAAACAGATGTCAGGTACCTGTTGGGTATGGACAAATAACCGCAGAGCTTGCATTCCAACTGGTGGAAATGGGAATTTCAGAGCCTGGTCAAAGTGCATAGACAAAAAAAATCCCATTTCCTACAATCTGGACTCCTTCAGGCCAAATCTTGATCTCACTAACGTGACTGAAAGACTCCTTTTGACTTCACTGAAATCAGCACCAGGCAGTAAATGTGAAACTCTGTTCAGTGAAGAGGGCCCACACAAGACCACTTCTGCCTTGGGTGCAGATTCCATCCTTGATAAATTTTGAAGGACATAATCAACTTGTCACAAATCAGTGTAGCTCCACTGAAGTCATGGGCTATCTTTCTCTTAGGGTATGTCTACACTACCCACCTTCTTCGAACTAGGGAGGCTAATGAGGACGACTGAAATTGCAAATGAAGCACTGGATTTAAATATCCCACACTTCATTAGCATGTTCCCGGGCGGTCGCCATTATGGAAATTGACTAGCCCAGAGTAACTTCCTGCGTCTACACATGGCAGTAAAACGGGAGTTCGAAGTAACCCCTTAACTCGAATTAGCTGGTAACAGGAGGAGTAACATAATTTGAGTTAAGGGGTTACTTTGAACTCCCGTTTCACTGCCACGTGTAGATGTGGGCAGTTATTCCAGGCTAGTCAATTTCCAAAATGGCGACCGCCTGGAAACATGCTAATGAAGCGTGGGATATTTAAATCCCGTGCTTCATTTGCAATTTCGGTCACCCTCATTAGCCTCCCTAGTTCGAAGAAGGTGGGTAGTGTAGACATACCCTTAGTCTTTTGCTACTTTACAGTAACAGTAATTGATACCGGCTGCACTATCATTAAAAAGATGCTGTAACTATTGGTGTTTTTTAAAATAAAACCAAGAAGAAATCATAGAATAATCATTTTGTCATCCAGGTTCCTGCCAAAGACATGAAAGTAAATTCCAAGCAAAACCAGTATGTGTTTGTTGAGGCAAAATTCCCTCAGCAAAAGCTGGAGAAAATAGTCTTGGTCAGTTTCCACAGTGGCTATATCTTTATCCAGACAGATAAAACTACCTACACACCTGGATCTTCAGGTACTGCCTTTCTCTACCATCTATTAATGGATCATTTAAATGCTACTTACATAATGTCAAATCTATAGCAGGTTCCATACCATGGAGGTTACTATTTCACTCATTTTCCGCTTGTCATTCTATTCTGTATTTCATCTGTGATTTCCCAGCTCCTCCTACCACCTTGTCCATCTTAGAGAACCAGACGAGCGATGCTGAAATGGTTTCAGTTTTGCCCCCTGTCCATGCTGGTGCTGTCCTAAACCACTTCAGTTGCAATGTCCTCTGGGTACCGATCCTGCAGTTCCCAGCTCAATTTGAAGAGATTTTGCAAGGCTTCTAGCTCACTGTGGGACCATTGAACCATTTCATCTTGTCTGTACCAAGCTGGCACTAGACAGTTAAGCCCTAATTACTTACCAAATATGCTGAGAGGTAATTTGTTCTGGTCAGCTACTCGACCATTTGGGATATGTAGACAGAATTCTACACACATCTTGAGGTTTCATTTCTTTTAGACAACGCCTTCAGGCAAATGTTTTCCTGTGTCCTGGGGCTTGACTCTCAACTGTCACTTAGAGCAGGGGTTCCCAACTTTTTCAGTCCCCGTACCCTCTTGGCTTTTAGTAACCTTCCTGTACCCCCTATTCAATAGGAAAGGAAATAAATTCTAGACTCTAGAATCCACAACTTTTTTCACTCACATGACTACTTTTGGAATATTTCAATTAGGGTAATCTAGTTATTTACCAAATATTCCCCGTATCCCCTTGACAAGCTTCTCGTACCCTCTGGGGGTATGTGTACCCCAGATTGAGAACCCCTGACTTAGAGCTTTGCACAGTCTGGGTAAAGTGGATGTAAAATTATACCAAATGAGAATTCCCCACTCACACCAGTGGCTGTGGGTTGTACCATTTTTTGCTCTAATATAAATAACTGCACAAGGAACAAGCCAATGCAAAATTGGGCTTCTAATGTTGTCGTAGGGTGTTCAGAGCTCTGACTGTTGACTGCCTGGCCCAGGTAAATGGGAATGGAGCATAAAAGATTTTTGCTCCAAAATTAGTGGTCCATTGTAGGTGGGTAGGTACAAAGCTGTTACATCTGACAGCTGTTCCATAGTCTCTGTATTTGCATTTTATTTATGTTTACAATTATAGAAAAGGCCTGTCCAAGGGTCCCAGGTTCTAGCTGGTGTAATGACTTCACTCACTATAGAACAAAATCCCCATAGCACTGTAATAATTGTTCTTATATGAACTCAACCAACCAGACATCCACAGAGGAAGCCCCTCATTTCAAGGAGACCCCAAACAGGGAAGCCAGCAATCAGACAGCATGTTCTCAGACTCTATTTCTACACTGCAATTAAAAACCTTCAGACTTCAGCTCCGAGGAGAATGCAATTCAAAGGCACAGCATTCAGGAAACCAATCCCCAAGTGGGATTAAAATCCCAAATAAATCCATCTTTCACTGTGTGAGAGATTCATACATCGAAAGCCCATTCAGTTAAGTCCCCTTGAACAATGAAAGGAGGATTGTGGTCTGGCAGAACACTGCCCACCAGGGCTCTGCTAGGGGCTCCTCCCCCTCTGGGTCAGTGGGCGGCCACTTCACCCCAGTACAGGGATGTACACACGGATTGTTCTCCCCAGGTAACAATTATTTACACTAAGCTTGATAGTAAATAAAAGTAATTGTATTAAATACAAACAGTAGGATTTAAGTGGTTGCAAGTGGTTTCATCAAGGTGTCTTAGCACTGGAAATACCCTTAATGGCTTTCGTTTGCATATTTAAAACCATAAATCATTCCATACTCCATATATCTAACTTTACATACAAGAAGTGGTACATCCAAAAGACAAGATACAGGTCATCCTTGCTGTAAATCCAAGATACCTTCCAAAAAACTTGGACTTATAGCGAAACAACTTAAAGCAGGGAATTTTTTTTACTGTGACTCACTTTCATTTATGCAAATTGGGGGGGGGGGGGGGGGGGGGCAAGGAATGGGAGGACTTATAACGCATTCGTGTCAATGACTTTAGTGCGGAAGGGATGTATATCAGGGTGACTTACCGTGGGGATGTCCTGTATACAGATCCAGCGTATTGTGACATTAAAATTGATAGGTTACTTAAGCCATTTTGTCCAAAGCATCTTCAAGTTATGCATATTTGTATCAATAAGACAATTTCGTAAAGTACGGTGGGAAGGAACCATTGCAACCACCTGCCTCCCGCACAAGGGAGTCCTGTCTTACTAGCTGTACTTGTCTGTACAGAGCTCCCTAGCGCAGGCAGCCTTCTTATTTGACTTCTGTTTCTCCGCCACACTCACAGTTTTTCTCCGGTAGTGGGCACATGATAGAGCCTAGTCTGTATCCTTAGCAAGATCTTCCATGGTGTACGGTTCCTCCAGGAGCTGCCACACCAACAGATGTTCCATGAATTGTGATTTCCTCAGTCATGTGTGGGTATGGTTTTGGAATAGCCCCTCTTCTGCATATTGTCTCTTGACTCCCAATCCCAATGTTAAACTTCCCCAGATTGACCAGTCCTTTTCGGCACCTATGGGAAGCCATTTGGCAACATCAGTCTACGTGCTGATGTCCTTGTCCAGTGTTTCAAGCCAGGCACGTCACATTTCCAGTCGTGCAACCACTGGTGATTTTTTAAAAGTGTGTTCTGTTGCAGGGAGGAAGCTTTTCTATGGTTTCATGTGGCTAACTGCCCTCTCACTGAGCGACTGGTTTTTAACTACTGATGTAGAGAACATCATCTTTAGTGTATCAGGCCCATAAGTGGGGATGGGGGGATGCGAAGGGTGCAAAAGCACCCCCCATGGCCAAGTAAGTATGTGCTGGCCTGTCAGGAGCAGTGCGCTGCCTGAGTCTCCCTCCCCCATGCTCTGGTGGGCCAGGGGAAGACTGGGTTTGATTTTCCTGCTTATTTGGGAGACCATTGGGAGTGCATTCACACCCTTCTGGTCCTCATTTACAAAAAAAATCACCCCCCACACACAGAAATTTCTGCACATGAGCCTGTGTAAATATTAGGGGTGTAAATAGTGTAGTTGATTAACCAAGGAACCAATAAGCAAAAGCTTATAGGTTAGTGCTATAGACTACACGCATTTCCCCTCTTACCCCACCAGTAAATTTTTTAGCAGGCTGGCCAGCAGCCCGGCTCAATAGTGGCTTGTGACGGGACCTACCCCCGCTGTGGCTCTGCATTTAAAGTGTTATTTGAAACTATAGACTACACGCATTTCCCCTCTTACCCCACCAGTAAATTTTTTAGCAGGCTGGCCAGCAGCCCGGCTCAATAGTGGCTTGTGACGGGACCTACCCCCGCTGTGGCTCTGCATTTTCAGTGTTATTAGCAACTAGCAGGTAGGTGGGCAAGCAGCTCAGCTGAGCTCAGCTCAGTTCCATCTCATGCTCGGTCCAGGAGCTCAGACATACTGCTCTCCCCCGCCCCCCTCGGACATCACCCCACCCCC